CGTTGCAATGCTGTCGTCATGGGTGGGTGGGTGGGTGGGTGGGTGGGTGGGTGTGTGTGTGAGTAGTGGGTGACGTACATAATAATTATTATCTCAAAATTAAAAGAAAAGGGTGTGTTTCAGGATTATCTCACTTTACTCCAACCATTATCCAAATATCCAATCCTTTTGCGAAATTGAGAGCAATTTCAAATTTGTTCTGTTTTTTTTATACACCCTGTAGATAGGATTTTCTTAAAATTATAAAATTATATGCGCTTTCAATTGGTTACTTACACATAAATGGTGCAAGCGGAACTTGCAAAACCTGCGGAAATTAATGACACCTTTTTCTTCTTGTACAAATACAGGAGGCTCAACTATTGTCAGTAACAAGTGTAAAATAATCAAAATCATAAACTTTAAAAGATTTGCATAAATTCATCGCAAAAATGTAGATATGAATGGAGAAAGAGAAAAAAATTATTTGTGTGAAATGCTATTAAAATATAGAATCCTCAACAGTAAGTAATGCGGGCGCGTATGAGGTAATAGCAATATCATAATTAATAATTGATAATTAAAGTAATATAGATCGAAGGGTTGAAACACCAGTCACGTGATTTTTTAAAATTCTAATTTAACCGTTTCGACATAATTTGATTATTTTACAACGTATTTAGCATTCTTGATTATTTTACACTTAATACTGACGGTAGTTAAATAAGCCCCTTGTGTTTGTACAAGAAGAAAAAAGTGATATTATTAAGTTCCGCCGGTTCCGCAGTTCCGTGGTCTGCAGTTCCGTTAATTATTCATTGTAATTAAACCTGATATGTATGAGAATTTTATAACCATATACGTGCGCCGTCAAAAATAGCCTTTTAAACCATCCATAACTTGCCCGCTATTCTGTATAATATTCTCAAACTTTCGCGGTATATTGTATAATTTGTATGCTCTTTCATTTGATTTGTTACACGTACTGTAAGTGGTGCAAGCCTGCAAATGAACGAACCTCCACTCACATTAGATTGTATCACGCGTGTCGTATGTTAAGCCAATTATACTGTATGCGTTGTACGTGGAGATCTGCCGGTAAGTTTTAAAAATCTCGCACGCTATTCTATTGGATTTTCTTAAAACTTCATATTTTGTATGAAATTATATGTTCTAATTTCATTTGGTTACTTACATGTAAGTGGTGCAAGCCGACAACTTAATTAACCGGCAGTTCCCCCACAGCCCATATACTGTAATTGGCTTAATATATATGACGCGTGTAACTCTAACTTGAGTGGGATTTTCGTTCATTTGTAGGCTTGCACAACTTATATGTAAGTAACCAATTGAAAGAGCATATAATTTTGTACAACATTTGAAATTTTAAGAAAATTCTAGTCAATAGCGGGCTTGGAATTTTTACAATTCTTGACAGTTTTGCAGTATAGGTTATTTTTGGCACCGGGTGTATTACTATTAGGAAAATGTTTTTTTCAATGCTTTGAGGCGCGGTTGTTGGTTTGTGTGCATTAAAACTTTAAGGTTTTCATTAGCTGGTAAGAACCTGTATGATTTCTTTTTTTGCAATTCATTTGGAAGAGAAGAAATGGCTATATTTTTCATTTGTACTTCTGAGTGATTGAAATGAGTGAGTTCACACCATATCGAATGTCATGCTGAATCTCATCCGTACTTCACAGTGGTGATGAGTCTACAGCCCCCGCTATAGTATAATTTTCATTACCAAATTATAACTTTTCAAAACTAACAGCTTTTAAAATCCCAGCTAATTCAAAAAAGGTTGTCCTTTGGAAACCTTAAATTAAAGAGGCTGTCAAGTCTGTTCTGCTAATGCGCTTGTTCAACGGTTTACATTTTTTTGTTTCAAAGCGCAATATAGATAATTTCATTAAACTTCCGATCTGTAAAGCCAATACTTTATTACATACAATGGCTTTACAACGCCAATGGATTATTGGTTACAACGTTTACCAGCTCTGCTTTACCAGGGGACATACCAGGATGTTTTCATTTTTCGCGCGCTATCATGAAGTAGACCCTGGGCGCAGAGACCCTGGGGACGAGGTTGAAACAAAGTATTTAGAATTTCTCGTCGAAAATTTGATACTTTTTACATTAAAAGCAATTGAAAACAACTAAAAATTATGGAGGAAATATGTACGAAAGCTTTGGATTGATAGGGATACAACTACCTGAAAAATACAAGGAGAACTTCAACGTTTCGATATACATCGTTTGTATACATCGTGCTTGACCTTTACTGTCGGTATTCATGATAAATTTAATCTTGAAATTATGAATGGTGAGTGTGAGACATGTCACAGGTATTTCAAGTGCTTAGAAGGACATCAAAGAACACACCATAGATATCTCATATACACTAGATAGCACATCCCACCCTGTAGGCAGGCGAAAATTGAAGCCTGATCGCAGTCGCAGTTTACGTGCGGCGGCCATATTGGTCGTTCCCACGGAGCGTGATAATTTGTATATTTTGTATTGCGGAAATGGACAAAGTTGACAATAAATCCTCTTTTATGCAGTCAATTTTGGTTTTTCAAGTGTGCAACTTGTTGTAAATGATGCCAGATCGTTGGAGCTTCATATTGTGAATAACGGGTAGGCAGAATTTAATTTTTTTTTCGAAAATATCAATATTTGTCGACCCGTATGAAGGGCGCCCATAGGACAAACCTTATGGACAAACCATCATTGTTGATGTATATATAAATATAGTTCTACCAATTCCAAATAAAACATTTTGAGCCATTGCCATTGCTTCTTGGCAAAATTGTGAATGTATTTGCATATTCTTTTGTAAAAGACAGCGACACTGAAAAACATATTTTAGTCACAGTTTATCAATGGCAAAACTAGACTTAAAATCTTAAATAGTCAATATATAGAACATTGACACCAAAAATGGTTCTTACTCCTTACTATTTGTATATTTATTACATACATACATACAACATATCAAATATTATTTTATAGTTCCATGGAATCACATCAAGATTAAAATGTGTTAGAAGCTAGAGAAGAATAATTGCAACTTAGTATATTCGCAGGCAATATAACATAATTGATATTGCTTTATGTAAATGTAGTTGATAATCAAACTTTCTAAAACCTTCAATTGTATGAATGCTTCAAACTATCTTTAATATTTGATGTTAAGAAATATTTCTTTCTGTTGAGTCCTAGACCTTTTGTTTTTAATCCAAGCAATCAAACTGCCAAATTACTGTAATTATTAACAGCATAGGTCATTGATAATCAGCTGAATTTTAAAACTGCTTTGGGAAACCCTAAGTAGATTTTATAATCTTAAATATAGTTGCACTCACTATTGTATA